AAAAAAAAAAAAAAGAAGAAGAAGAAGAAAAGAAAAAGAGAGGGGGAAAGGGAGGGGGAGAAGTGCAGTAGCAATTCCCTAACTTATATGGCACTACAGTCACTGTAGCACTATAGCCTCAGCCTCCTAAGTAGCTTCAACTACAGGCACGCACTAGCATGTCCAGTGAATTTTTTAAAATCTTCTGTAGAGATTGCTATGTTGTCTGGGTTGGGCCTAAACTCCTGGCTTCAAGCGATCCTCCCGCCTAGGCCTCCTAGAATGCTGGGATTCCACGTGTAAATCACCTCACCCAGCCTTTAGCACGTTTGTTAATGTATATTTGAGAGGACTCTACTGGATATTAAATGCCGCCAGTCCACATGACAAGTTGTCTATTCACATATACAGTACTGCAAAGCCACTTTCATGATGTGTCGAATTTATTGGACTGAAATATTGTGAAGTATCTCTGCCTTTTGACAAGATCCCTATTACTATCACAGGTCCCAAATAAATTCTCTACACATGATCCCATTCAAAGCACACTCATTTATACAGCACAAAATTGTCTAATCTCTTTCAAGCAATCATCAAATTAAAAAAAAAAAAAAGAATGCTAAGAGAATTCCACCTTAGTGTGAAACTGGAAAACCACTGTATTATTTGTTAAACAACCCCACTGGAAGTAGATATACTTTCTTGTAGGAAAACCTAAGACATTATTGATTACTACATAAACTTAAAATAACTGACTCAGTGCCTGTAGCTCAGTGGCTAGGGTGCCAGCCACATAACCAGGGCTGGCAGGTTCAAACCTGGCCCTGGCCTGCTAAAAACAACAATGACAACTACAACCAAAAAATAGGCGCCTGTTGTCCCAGCTACTTGGGAGGCCAAGGCAAGGGAATTGCTTAAGCCCAAGAGTTTGAGGTTGCTGTGAGCTGTGACACCATGGCACTCTACCAAGGGTGACATACTGAGACTCTGTCTCCAAAAAAATAATAATAATACTTATTATAAGGTAAGCATATTACTATTCTATCCTGACCACAGAGATTTCAGAAATTCAGTTGCTCCTCAATTTATGAAAGGGTTACATCCTGATAAATCCATCATAACATCACTGCAAACGTACTTTTGATTTATAATAGTTTCAATTTCTGATGCAGTTATTGGGACATAACCTCATTTTAAGTGGAGGAGTATACTGAATGCATATTGCTTTTGTGCCATCGTATAAGCTGAAAATCCTAAATAGGAGCAATTTCTTTTATGTGGTCAATATGTTAACATATTTTGAAAAGTAATATGTGGCAAATATATGAATTTTCCATTACTTGGAAAATCTAGTTTTTAATAACACTTAAGCATATATAAAACCACTACCGTCTGCTTTCTTTCTTTTTTATTCTTTCTTTCATTTTTTTTTTTTTTTAAAGAGACAGGATCTCACTCTGTTGCCCAGGCTGAAGGTGTAATGGCAAGATCACAACTTACCATAACCTCAAACCCCTAGGCTCAAATGATATTCACACCTCAGCCTCATGAATAGCTGGGACACATATCACCACATCCAGCTAATTTTTTAATTTTATTTTTATAGAGACAGGGTCTCCCTATGTTGCCCAGGCTGGTCTCCATCTCCTGGCCTCAAGCAATCCTCCTGCTTCAGCCTCCCAAAGTACTAGAATTACAGATTGATCCACCATGCCTGAATCATCTGTTTTCTTTATTGCTGACACTCTGTATTCAGATGCTCACCTTCTATACAGTCCCATATTAATGAAAATGCACCCTAATCTCTTTCTCCAAGGAGATAGATTTTTATTAATCTGAACCAATCTGGTTAATCCTAGTGTCCCTATGTTTATTAAGGGACAAGTAAACCAAATATAGCCAATAAAACACTAGAAAAGTTCAGGGTATTTCTTAAGAAAGTGTTCCTTAATTTTAAAAATAAGCACTGCAGATGATAGGCACTTTACCCACTCTTAGGTGTTTGTGTGAGAGTGTGACACAGAGAGCTACAGCAGACATCTTATGACCATAAAGGGACAGCCAAGAGGATTCCAGAAAAGTCAACACAGAACTTCATTAAACAAATGACCAATAAGGAGCCATGGAAATGGACAGACCTATCTACTTTGTTATCTGAGTTTACAATTGCTATTTTTAATTCACTTTTAGTTAGAGACTTTTACTTGGAAAATAAAATATCATAAAATATGTATTTATTTATAGCAAGTCATTAAATAAGAATTACTATTTATCACATAGTCATGGACCTGACATTAGGTAGTTTAAATACATAGTTAATTTAACTAATGCAACCCCATAGGATCAGGATTATTTTTATTCTTCCCACTTATAGAAAAGGATTAGGTGATACTATAAAACTTCTCTCAGAGAACACGGGTATGAAACTTTAAGTCAAGACTTGAACCCAGACTTGTCACGGATTTTTCAAATATTAGTATACTTCACTGATAGCCCGCTTAACCTGAGTTCCCCTTTCCATGTCTCCATAAAGAAAATTCTACACTAGCAATTTCACAAGATTATTCTGAGGAGTCAATAAGCAAATGTTTCTAAATAACTATTATTTAGGCAGTATACTGAGGTGAAAATAACAATAATGCTTAGCATCTTGGTATAAAGTTTGAATAGTGAAACCTCTGTACTGTTCAGTTAAATTCTTGGAGTGCTGGCATCTGATTTTATATCAATATATTTCACATAAAATATGAATTTAACACCTTATACTATCACCTTACTTTTATAAAAATCTGCTATAAACAGAGGTTACAGGTGAAAGTAGTTTCAAAAAAACACTTTAAAAAAATAGAGGGCTAGAAGTAAAAAGAAAATTTCAAACCACCTAGAAAAATCCCCAAATTTGGATATAAAGGCACTAGAGAGGTGATGAAAATAGACAATGTCATAACTCCTAGTCTATGGTTCTTCTGACAACTTTTTCTAAGTTTAAGAAAATACATTAAAGATGCAAAGAAAGAAAAACAATTAAAATGGAAAAGCAATTTTAATTTTGATAAATGTGAAAAATACTGTTACTTGTCTTTACTTTCAGTGTTATATCTTTATTAAAATTCTCTTGAACATGCATTGGCTGCAAATAGTAGCCTCCTCAGTAGTGTATGCAGCCTGTTGCTTGTATAGGTTGCTCTAAGGGACCTTGGAGACATTCCTTTCCAATACATGTTCATGTGTTAGACCTTGTGCTGTCCCCAATCTAGGCTCCAGACAGGTATGCGTGGTGCCTTTGGAAAGCCCCAGGGCACTGTGGCCAGGGTTCACATTGGCCAAGTCATCATGTCCATCCGCACCAAACTACAGAACAAGGAGCATGTGATTGAGGCCCGTCGCAGGGCCAAGTTCAAGTTTCCTGGCCGTCAGAAGATTCACATCTCCAAGAAATGGGGTTTTACCAAGTTTAACTCAGATGAATTTGAAGACATGGTGGCTGAGAAGCGGCTCATCCCAGATGGCTGTGGGGTCAAATACATCCCCAATCGTGGCCCCCTGGACAAGTGGCGGGCCCTGCACTCGTGAGGACTTAACACTGTTGCCTATCAATTGCGCCTACCAATAATAAATCCTACTTCGTATCCAAAAAAAAAAAAAAAAAATTCTCTTGAACAAGTGACTTTTTAGATTAGAATAACTAAATCTTACATTATTAAAATCTTTCTGAATGACTTCTCATTCCCCACTACAAAAAGAACATGTGCCTCTTAAAACCCATTTAATAAGACATTCACTTCCCAGAGGATCACCATTTTCAACGAGGAGCAGTGAATCTTCTCTAATGCTCTAAATCAAGCGTCCTCACACTAAGGCCCATGGGCCACATACAGCCCACCTAGGACATTTATCCAGCCCACCAGTGTTTTTGCCGCTGCTGCCTGTCCTGCTTAGCAGCTTACTGGACCCGGGGCCCGCAGTCCAGCCCTCCAACAGTCTGAGGGACAGTGAACTGGCCGCCTGTTTAAAAAGTATGAAGACCCCTGCTCTAAATTTATGTAGAGAAAACCACAGTAAATATTTGTCTCTAGATTCAAGAAGAGGAACTTCCAAGTAAGTTTCACAAAGTTCTCTTGGTACAGGGCACAATTCCTCTATGATTTGTAAATGCGCTAATACAATTCTGAGATGTTTTCAAACAGAATTTCTAGCTGAACGCACCACAGCCTCCCAAGCAATCTGTAGGCAAACTATGTACAGCACAAAGAAAATAAGTGGCAGGCTCCTACACAATAAATATGATTCCTAGGATAAATACACCAGATACAGAGAATTTCAAGGTATATATTGCTGAAGATTAACGTTTTTTTTTTCTTTAGGATGCTCTTTGATATTCCCTATATCTTTCTAAAAATTATTTTCAAGGTGTTATTCAAGACAACTGGCTTAGTCTCATCAATAAGTTAGAAGAGACTTAAGAAATATAATCAGTTGTCATGCACCATCCTAGATTGGATTCTAGTTTACACAAATCAAATTACAGAATGTTTTGGGAACACCACGGGAAATCTGAATTTGGACTAGATATCAGAATATATTAAGGAATTGCTATTAATTACCTAAAGATGGTAATATATTTCATTTATGAAGAGAACTGTTCTTACTTTTTAAATATGCATAGTGAGGTTAAAAGCACATTTTATTAAGCTTTTCAGTATGAAAAGATCATTTTCATTATTTATTAATCATATATCAATATAAAGTGAACTCTTCATAATCCTGTCAGCCTTAAATTTACTTCTGTAATTTTAATATCGAATCTCCAGTATATTTTATGTGAATAATTTTATTCTGAGTCTCTCAACCTTTTATGCACAGCCTTGTTAAGCCATTTTACTTTTTGTTTTTTGAGACAGAGCCTCAAGCTGTCTCCCTGGGTGGAGTGCTGTTGTATCATGGCTCACAGTGACCTCCAACTCCTGGGCTCAAGTGATTCTCCTGCCTCAGTCTCCCAAGTAGCTGGGACCACAGGCACCCACCACAACGCCCAGCTATTATATTTTTTTGGTTGCAGCCGTCATTGTTGTTTGGAGGGCCCAGGCTAAATTCGAACCCACCAGCTCAGGTGTATTTGGCTGGCACTTTAGCTGCTTGAGCCACAGGCGCCAAGCCTAAGTTACTTTTATAAAAGGCAAATTACTGGATTTTCCTTATTTTTTTTTTAATTTTTTTTGAGACAGAGCCTCAAGCTGTCCCCCTGGGTAGAGTGCTGTAGCATCACAGCTCACAGCAACCTCCAACTCCTGGGCTCAAGCGAGTCTCCTGCCTCCACCTCCCGAGTAGCTGGGACTACAGGCACCCGCCACAGTGCCCAGCTATTTTTTGGCAGCCATCATTGTTGTTTGGCGGGCCTGGGCTGGATTCGAACCCTCCACCTTAGGTGTATGTGAATGGCATCTTAGCCACTTGAGCCACTGGCGCCGAACCTGGATTTTCCTTTAAATGCTTAAGAAAACTCTTTCTAAGGGATAGGCCCATTTAAATATTATTAAATAGACTATTACATCTGCTATATTTGATTTAATGTTTATAACTTTAAGTGTTGCTATTTTTAGGTTTTCCTTGGTATTTTTCTACTTTATGCCTTTTTTAAGTTTTCCTTTATTGGAAGATACAGTATTCTAACATACTAATGTTATCTAAAGCATTTCACAAATATTGCTATTTTGATAGCAATGATCTATTTAAAAAAATAACTTGGGATACTGATTTGTACACATAGAAGATAAAAAATTCAGTACTTTTAAATCCTTTCACCATGTTACTGTCTCCTTCCTCAAACTTATTTAATTTAAATAGTTTCCAAAATTAAAAGTGACTTAGTATTTTTTAAATTTTTTTTAATTTCAGAAAAATTAAAGATTTATAAATTCAAACAAATTCCAACATTCGAATAACATTTAATTTACATTAAACAAAATAAAAACCAGTACACTTCCCCCAACTAATGGTGTGCAAATTTATACTACATAGTTTCGCAAAAGATCATTTCCATTTTACCACTGATTCATTTTAATCTTTACTGTCTTATTCTTGAGTCATTTCTGAATTTCTCTCTTAAGTGTTTGGAATGCATTGTTAACTTGATAGCATATTTTTCAAAATATTGAAAATATCACCTTTGGATATAAATAAAAATGTGTTTTGATACAAAATGTGAGGTTCATAACCTTTTTTCTAAAGGGCACAAGGTACAGTATCTTGTGCTCTGTAATATATTTTCACAAAAATTGGGAGTTAATTCAACTTCCCATTGCTGTCCTTCTTTCCCTTGAAAGTTGGCTGGGTTCTTGTATTTAGTTTTGAAATACAAATATGAGGTCTTATTATTTTCTGTTTCAATTTTATATTTTATAGGACTTTAATCTACAATATTAGGTTACTCTTTATTCGGATTCATAAATTTTCTTTGTAACTTTAATCACAATATCTGATCTGTCTTGTTCTAAGTATTAATTTATGAGTTGAATCTGTCATCTGACCTCAGTGGCTCAGAGTTCAGTATATCTTTATTCTAGGTGAGATTAATATTTCATACTGCTAAATTGCCTTACTAAATCAAAATATGCTTTTAACTTCCAGCAAAGATTTCTTTTACTGTTGTAACTTTTAGGCCATTATTTTCTTTTTATCATGGCCTTTTATACTATTATGAACTAAATTATAATTCTCCAGTCACCACACATATTTTCATATGAGGCTAACATTTGGAATTGTAACAATTACAAAATTATAAACTTTCAAACATGACTTTGAGGGATCCCTCAGTATCATCCATAGGGAAGAAACATTTTCCTGGCACATCCTTCAATCTGATAGCTCTATAGCTACCTAAGACTGAATACTAGTCTCACTCTGTTCAGAGAAAGAGAAAATATCCTGTTTTTAACTCACCAGTACTTTTTTTTGCAGTTTTTTTGGCCAGGGCCAGGCTTGAACCTGCCACACCCAGTATATGGGGCCCGTGCCCGACTCCTTGAACCACAGGCACCGCTCACCAGTACTTATTTCTTAAAATTATCTGAAGGATAGTCATTTACCCTACATCAATACAATGAATGAAAATTTATAGATTTTAAAACCCCAACAGGTCATAGAAAATGAATCATTTTTCACACTGAATATTCAATATTTATACTGAACATTATATCTCATACTTTTATTAAAGTGCACATAATCTAAAAATAATAGAATGTACAACTTTGAAAGCTACAAATAAAGTCAAACTCTAATTCCAGCTCAGAGTTTTAGAAAAGAAAATACTATCTGTTGCCCAATTGGAAAGTTTCTACTATATTACACGGTAATACTCACAAGCTGATGTTCTAATAGTTGAATCCTTTCATCTTTTCTCTTTATTTCTTCTTTAAGTTGTTTTATTTCATTTAATAAATCTTCATTCTGAAAGATTAAAATATTTAAGGTATTTCAAATATCATAACAAGAAGTATTAAATCAATGACAAAGACTCAGTAATGAATGAGAAGTTATTCATTAATTTGGGGGGAAATCCCCTATTAAAAAGAAATCTAAGACTTCTTCTAATGGAGTCTGACACATAGAAAATAAGCAATAAGAACAGCAACAGCTAACATTCATTGAGGACTTACTAGGTATCAGAAACTAGGCACTTGCAAGTACTTAAGCATTTGATCTTGACTGAACTCTGGAGTAGGTATTGTTATACCCTTTTCCCAAGTAGAGAAACTGGAACACGGGCCACAGAGTAAAATAAATGACATACAAAATAGTAACTTCAGCTAGATTTCAAGAGATGCCTAAGAGTTGCCCTGTCAAAAAAACCAAAAGGCATAAGAAACAAAGGGAAGCATTTCATGACTGGTTCAGAAATCAGCAGAAAAATAAATGTATAAGGGTAACAAGGGAAATCCTTTTCCCATGAACCACTTGTTGCGAAGCACTGCCTCAAACAAAAAGACAATCTTGTCAACTTCACTATGAGAAATCTCAAATGCTATTAAATGGAAACCAACTGTCAAGTTAAAAAGGAATCTAGTTAAATATGCGAAGTGTTAAGTATCATTACCTTAGACTTAGCCCATTTTATGTACCACTATTCAACTATGCAGAGATATATACTGAGGAAGTAGTATTAGCAAAAAAATTAGAATATATGTGGATGATATATCTACCATATCATTCTAGAAAGAAAAAAATGTTTAAGTAATAATTAAAATGTATTATTACTGAGCAAAGTATTCCATCTCCTTCAGACATGCTGGGCACAAAAAATATATATACTGCAGTTTAACAAGAGATCAGCAGCAGACATTTTACAAAGGCTTTCTCTTAACACAGAAGCATCCCAAACAGTGAGGAAGAAAAGATTTTTAAAATTCTGTTATGTATTCTATAATTGGGAAAGACTTTATTACATACAAAAAAAATTTCCAGTCAGATTTTAAAAGTTTAAGAATTTAAAAAATTCATAAATCAAGACCAATAACTGGCTTAAAGATCATGAAAAATACATGTCTAAGGATTTATTCAGAAGGACACAATTCTAAGCTATGCAGCAAATGAAGCTATTAAGAAATGAAAACATATATTTCTTTATATAAAATTTTAAAGTATATAAACAATTAACATTAAAGTTAAATGCTGGTAAAAATCCATGCAAATATAACAAAGGATTTATATATTAAGCATATTAAGAGCTTATCCAAACATATAATTTTCAAGGACCCAACAGACAAATAGCCATTTCTCACAAGCATACATATAACTGGAAGAATCTTCTATTTAGCTTGTTAAAGAAATATAAATTAAAATATTGAAGATATTGTTTTATAGGTATTAAATTAGGGGGACAAATACCCAACGTGATTAGTAAGATAACAGAAATAGTACATCATCAGACACAGCAATTAACTTTTCTGGACAAATATATTGTATGCATAAGAGTCATAAAAATGTACTCTCTGATTCAGTTATGCTACTCCTGGAGAAGAAATGATCCTAAGTATGAGAAAATCTGTAACAAGGTATTATCTCTAAGTTACAAGTTTACAATTTTCCTATAAGGGGACAACCGAAATATAGTGTAGCAACTTGATAAAACACTAGTACATAGCCATCAAAATACAATGTAGTAAGAAGATTAACAGCCAATATATATACAGCACTTACTATTATATGTTAGACATTGCTCTTGAGGATTTTTTCTTTTTCTTTTTTTTTTTTTTGAGACAAGAATCTCACTCTCTTGCTCCAGGCTAGAATGCCATGGCATCATCATTGCTCACAGCAACCTTAAATTCCTAGGTTCAAGCAATTGTCCTCTGCCTCAGCCTCCTGAGTAGCTGGGACTACAGGCACCCACCTACCCCACCCAACTAATTTTTCTATTTTTAGAAGACATGAGGTTTCACTCTTGCTAGGCTGGTCCCAACCTCCTTATTCCTAACCTCAAGCAATCCTCCCATCTAGGCCTCCCAGAATGCTAGGATTCAGGCAGGAGCCACTGCACCCAGCCTGCTCTAAGGATTTTATACACAAAGATAGGCACACCAGGAAATGAGTGTCTCCTATGGGTTTTAAAAGATGAACAATGATAGAGATATGAAGTAGACCTTGGATGTTAGGGTAAGGGATTAGAAATATAACAATATGGAGGTGAGCGCAAGCACAACATTGTTTGGAGAATTAGAAGCAATGATGCTGTAGCACAAAAGTCATAAAAACTTAACAAACTAAGAGGTCACTGAAGAACATCTATCAATGGTTCTGAACTGAGTTTTGAAAAAGAGTTGGCATGCTAATGACATGCTGATTTGGAATACTATTGTACTGGTATGAAAGCCAAGACATGGGAAGTAATCTGAAAATGACAAATAGGCAAAAACTGAAAAAACAAGGATAACCATATGTGACTACCATGCTATACTATTTTGATTTTGATTGTTTTATATGCAGACTTGTTTCCAATAAATAACTCTGCACCTTATGAGAAAATGATGCTTCTCTGCCCCATTGAAATCAGGACTGGCCACTTAAATTGTTTTGAAAATGACATGTATCACATCCAGGCAGAATTCACATGTGGTTCTATCAAAGCTCTTTTCTCTCTGGCACAACAACAGCGTGTCCCACAATATGAGCTGATCTTTCAGTTTGGATCCCAGAAGCAAGAAGACACATGAAGAATTCCAGATGACCTACCACCAATATGTAATGTAAGTGAGGCATAAATTGTTATGATAAGCCACCAGTGTTTTATGGTTGTTACTGTAGATGACTAGCAAATACTGATTAGTCTGCCCTGAAAATATAACTGAAAGCCAGTAAGATTACTTGGAAATACAGTAGAACCTCCACTTTTGGCCACCTCCCTACAATGACCACCTCCTTAAGTTGACCTACTTTTCATTGACTAGATATGTACCATATATACGTATCAGTACAGCTGACCTAGTTACTTATGTTGATCACCTCTGTATGTTGACCAGTTTGTTATAGTCCCTATATAGTCCCTAATATAGAGGTTCCACTATATTAAGAGTATTTACATTTGCTTAAGAAATAAATGTGGCCTTGAGAAATAATTTAAAAACAAAAGAGCTTCCTTCAAGAGAATTATTTTGAAAAACACTTTCAAACATTATAATAAATCTGGATTCTGAGAGAGAGGGTAAAATGGCTGACTACAAACATGAGTTGCCAGATCATCTCAGAAAGATGGAAAAGATAAGAGGTGGGGAGAAAAAAAAATAGCTCAGTGTAAATTTGAGGGAAAAGTGCCAGAATCTACCAGAGATTACATAGGAAGAAGGGGCAGGGCAGAACAAGAAGTAATATTTTGGCAGAGATCAATCCCGAAAAACTTGGGAGTCCTGTGGAAGGGTAGGCAGGATTTTTGTTTCTCCTCACTTCACACCTCTGGTAGTCAGAGGGTGCCCAAGCTACTGGAGGGCTTCTCTAGCCTCAGGAGCCCAAAAGTTGCTGCCACCAATTAACTTGGGAGCTTCTTGAAAACAAAGCACCAGTCTGCCAAGTCCCTCAGGATTGCTCCCCATAACAAAAGACCTGAGCTGAGGTGGCAGGAGCCATACTGCTTCTTCACCTGCTATGAGCCTGTGTCTTCTCCAGAGAGTTTCAGCCTTTCTGTTTTTTTTGTGTCACTGATTCCCATGCAAATATTTCCCAACTCCTGCTTAGACTGTAGTGGCCACAGAGGGCTGGTGGCTCCTCGGAAAACTGTGTGATCTTAGAACTTGGACACTCCTGGTGGGCTTCCTACTGGGAAGGGTAACAGGAGAAACCAGAATCCTTCATTCAGACTCTTTTCCACTCCCTCCCCCCCATTGCCATGTGGCACAGGCACCCCCAAGAATGACAGAACCCAGCTCTCAAGAGAAGCGGTTCCCCTCTATTGGCACATTCACTACACTGAGTCTTCCACAGAGACTGCAGCTCATACCGTTCCTCTTAAGACCTACAGAGGATTAAGGGGTCTTAGGACTTGAGCTCCCCTGCCTATAAGCCCTCCCTGATGTTGCTCACCTGGCTGCTCCAGCAGAGCAGGACACACCCTGAAACAGGGGAACTTTAAGCTTTCTTGAGCACTCAACAGACAACACAGAGCCAGCACACTTTCCCCTGGCACAGTCAGGGATTCAATGTGGAAGAGCAGGGGACAGGCCTGAGACCAGATCCCATATCCCCAAGAACAGATTGTGCTGCTCAGGGCACAGAGGGGAGATTTATGAACTAATCTTGGCAAGCCAGAAAGCACATGCAGGCAGAAATAAAAATAGAGTGTGGTGTGGGTTCAAGCCACAGCACACTCGTGGAGCACCCGTTCCCCTGAAGGAAAGCAGGGCTTTAGGTCCAAGGCAGAATTTTGGGCAGAGATGGTCCCAGCCCATGGCCATTGCTGGTGAGGTCAGCTACATTTGAACTATTTGTACTGAGAGGCCAGAAGGAGACCACAGGGCAGCTGGGAAGAAGAAGAGTGAAATCCATTCCAACAGCCAGTTTGCAAATCCCAAACACTCCAGTCCCTGCCCCATGAGTAGATTTTCTGGTTTCGTAGAACCACTTCAGCCCAGCTAATTCTCAAATTCTGCCAAGACAGCTCTTGTTCTGACCTCTGTGGAAGCTGGTCCAACTCAGCCCTTCTCAGCCTCATTCTTCCATCTACCTCTGCTATGGTGGAAAATAAGTCCCATGGTTGCTGGAGGGCCCCACCCACCACCTGGGACAACAAAGTATGTTTCGTGATTGACTAGAGTCAGTCACAGGTAGGTTCCCAAAAACAACACTGCAATTGGCCCTGTCCTGCAACCACCACCTACTGGCAGGGCGGACAACTTGTACAGTCAATCCTTTACAGCATTTATTGACTCATTGATCATACATGGCATGGCTGACTCTTACCCACAAGAACCACCTACTGTTTCAGAGATTAAAGTGGGCATCTCAAGATAATCCAAACTGTTAAGAAGATCCCGGGGCTAGAGAATGAGAAAGGATTTTAAAGACTTCCACCTTCCCTTATCTACCTGAGATGGCATTTTCTCACACACCACAGTATACCACTGCCACAGCCTAGAAATAACTAGCAATTGAGAAAACAGCCATACTAAGATCCATAATCAAAGTACCCATGGAGAACCTAGACCCATCCATAAGAGTACCCACAAGCAAAGCCAGAAGTTCTGACTCAACATATGCTACTGACATGCCCTTAAGAGGAAAAGCCTCACCTAAAAAAAAGAAAATCCAAGAACAAGAAGCAACAGTACAAGAACTCCAGAAGTATAAAGAATCAGAGTGAAAGGACAACATCAAAGGAGCACACCAGCCCCCTAGCACTAGATCCCAACCAAAATAACAAAACGGAAATGACAAATAATTCCAAATAAGGAATTTCTGAGGAAACTCAACGCAACCAAGAGCAATGAAAAACCAACTCAAAGAAAAGTAATTCAGAAAATGAATGAAAATTTTACTGAAGAATATATTTTTTAAAAAAACAAACAGAACTCTGGAAATGTAAAATTCACCTTGGGAAATATAAGAATAGAGCAGACCAAGCAGAAGAAAGAACTACAGTACCAGGAACAGGACCCCTATCTCTCATAATACACAAAAATTAATTCAAGGTGGATAAAAGATTTAAATGTAAACCATGAAACCTTAAAATCATAGAAGATGTAGGAAAAACTTTTCTAGACGTTAGCCTAGGCAAAGAATTTATGACTAAGACCCCAAAGGCAATTATATCAACAATAAAAATAAATAAATGGGGCTTAATTAAATTAAAAGCTTCCACAGAGTGAACAGACAACCTACAGAATGGGAGAAAATATTCACTAACTACACATCTGACAAAGAGCTGATATCCAGAATCTACAAAGAGTGCAATAAAATCAGCAAGAAAATAACAAACAACCCTATCAAACAGTGGGCTAAAGACCTGAGCAGAAGTTCTTTGAGAGAAGACACACGAATGGCCAACAAACATATGAAAAAATGTTTAACATCAATAATCATCAAGGAAACTCAAATTAAAACTATAATGAGATACCCAACTTACCATTATCAGAATGGCCATTACAAAAAGTCAAAATTATCTAGATACTGGCATGTATGTAGAGACAAAGAAAGGCTTATACACTGTTATTGAGACTGAAAATTGGTACAACCTCTTTGGAAACCAGTATGGAGATTCCTCAAAAAAATAAATGCAGACCTACTGTTTGATCCAGCTATCTCACCTGCTGGCTGTCTACTCTAAAGAAATGAAGTCATTTTATCAAAAAGACACCTGAAGTCAAATGTTCATTTCTTTGGGTAGACAGGCAGTAGTGGCACAGATGGATCGAATAGTAGGTCTATATTTATTCCCTTTGAGGAATCTCATACTTTTTTCTATAGATGTCGGATCATGGAATAGTACTCAGCCATAAAAGGACTGAAATAACATTGTTTGCAGCAACTTGGACGCAACTAGAGACCATTCGTCTAAGTGAAATATCTCAGGAATGGAAAAGCAAACACCTTATATCCTCATTAATAAGTGGCAGATAATAGATGGGTACATAAAGCAAAATAAAGGACATGAGAAACTAAAAAGGGAGGCAGGGTGGAAGGATAAGTTTGGGATAAAATCTTATCCACTAGGTACAGTGAATGCTATTCTGGTAATAAGCATACCAAAGCTTCTGACTTAAGTATTATACAAGATATCCTTGAAATAAAAACACTTGTGCCCCCTTAATTAATATTTTGAAATTAAAAAAAAATACATTCAGATTCTATTATCATACTTTCAGATAAAAAGATAAATTAATGTTATTTTCAGGATATTTCTTCACTGCTGGGATTATATATGACAATTGCCTATTACCATTTTAAATATTATTGGTGGTCATATTTTAAAAATTGTTATTCATAATTATAAGCAAAGTTTTTTTTTCTTTTTGCACCAGTAGTAATATAAGGGCAAATAATTATCCAACTGATAAATTCAAGTTAAAGCACCACAGAGATACTATTTCAACTTAACAAAGTAGCAAAAGTTAAGAGCAAAACATTTAATACCCAAAACAGAAAAGCTCTGGGATTTCATATATTTATTATTTTTTGTTATTGCATTATTATTTCAGTAATAAAAAAGGATTTAAAAATAATTCAGCATCATTATCTAGTGATACCTTATATATTTGATCACTATCCTCTGGTTCCGGACTGGATGGCAATGATAGTTGAACATCATGCAATGAACCACTTCCGTCATGCTGTCAAAAATAAAAGAAGAAAAACACAAGATTAATATAATAACTATTGACATTAAGGGTAACCTGAACTCACCCCATGCCAAATGTTAACATGACAAAGAACAAATGACAGATAAAATTTTAGAAATCTCCTTTTTATCTCTAGGCACTGATAGAAGAAAATGTAGAAGAGGAAAAAAGGGCAAGAACAACCTGTGGAAATAAATAACAGACACTATATGAGTGGCTGAAGTAGAGTCACTGCACATACAAGAAATTTCCTCAATTTGTATGTTATCCTTACCTAAAAGAAATGTAAAATAAAAGTCAACTAAAACTGGTTTGGTTTAGAGATGTGTTTTGAGTATAAAGGAGCCAGAAACAATATAAATAACAAGACCTAGCCACAAAAAAACCCAAAAAAACCACATTTGATTAAAAATACTACATATGTGAGAATACACATTTCATACGCCTCCATTTACATGGAATCTGAAAACAGGAAAAACTAATAAGTATATGGTGCTAGAAATCAGAAGAACAGTGTTAGATACAGGGGAAGGAATTCTTGACTGGGAACACAAAGAAGCTGGAAATGTTCCATGTCTTGACTATGAGGTGGTTACATAAGCATACATATGAAAAGTTTAGGCTGTACAGCTAAAATTGGTCATCTTAAATACTTTACTAGACGTATGCCTCCAAAAACAGCTGAAATAAATGGGAGATTTTATCCATTATCAGTAAGAAGCCATAGGTTCAATTCATTCAGATGACAACTTCAACAAAGATGAACTAGCACCGGATATAATTGGATGGCAGGTCTGAGTCCCATGGCAGCCCACCTACAGTTCAATACCTTGTTTGTTCAGCTGATACCTCACCTTGCTGCCTCAGGACACACACTGAACCAGCAACCTTCAAGGAACACTAATATCAGAATCTTCTCAGACACATCTGTTCTGAATCTCAGACCATAAATAATGTCCTGCATTGAAACAGGAGTGCTATAATAGGGGAAGGTGAGCATTTAGGTTATTTACTTATTATTATAATACATCCTACTGACTCAGAATCTTTAGGGGGGCCCAGGAATGTGTAATTAATTAGAAAAGTTCAATGGGTAATGTTGACTACAGTAAAGACTAATAAGCATTTCCCATTTCTAGCATAGATAAATTACAGTTTTACTGATGATATCATATGGACAAAAAGACTGTCCTAAGAGGAAGGCAAAATTCTAATAAACAATAATGTTCCCAGAACACTATGCTGTAATTTTAAGAAAATTCTATAAGACCTTTCAAGAAAAAGTTCATCTCTGCCAGTAATGACTTGAAATATAAAAATATAGCAAGTCCTACATGCAAATATATTTGAAAAAAGAGGTACTATAAAATTAAATTTACTTCCAAATATCTAAATATCTTCTTGCCAACTCAAAGCATGAATCCCAAGGAATGAAAGACAACACAAGCACATACTGCTTTGCGTAAGACACAGTTGTAGGGCAGCACCTCTGGCTCAAAGGAGTAGGGCTCCAGCCACACATATGGAGGTGGCAGGTTCAAACCCGGCCCCAGCCAAAAAAAAAAAGACACAGGTGTAGTTGCAGGAGGTATGCAGCAGAATAGGAAAAATAAAACAACAGCTTTCCAGCACAAGGAGAAAGATGGGATTTTAGCAAAACAGAAAATGTGAGAGAGATCACAAAATATCAGAACCTTAGGAAAATAACCACATAAAGCAGTATAAAATTACTGAGTTCACCCCTGAGCAGCACTTGCTTGGATCTGATCCTAAATAGACACTAAAGACCTTCAAAAACAAACCAAGATTAAACTAAGGTCACTGCTCAGATCCCATTCGAGCCTCTGGAAGGTGTGCACATGTACTGAGAACATCTTGAGAGCATGGCTTTGAAAAGAGAACTGATGTTGAAACCACTCAAAGGTGGCTGTTTGAAGCCTGAAGCCTGAACTCAAGCAAATTATTTGTCTGCTTAAAAAAAACAAACAAAAAATCAATATTCTCCATAGAATTCAAAGATCACGAATTTCTTAACACAATGCTTAAATTTTTAAGACAAAATGCAAAACTATTTAGAATATAAAGAGAGGAAAAATGTCACTCAGAAAAAGATAATCAATAGACACCAATACCAAAATGACAGAGAAGTTAGAATTAGAAGAGATTTTAATAGAGCTATCTTAAATATTCTCCAAAAGTTAAGGGTGAACTCTTGAAAGGGATGGAAATACAAAGTCCTGGCAGAGAAACAACATACAAGTGGAAACAAACAGAAATTTTAGAACTGAAAAAATTGAATAACCTAAATTATAAAATGCACTGCACTGAAAACCACAGTAAACTACAGATAAACCTAAATTATCCAATCTGAACAATGAAGAGAAAAAAGATTAGAGCTTGCTCATGAACCTGTAGGAACAATAATAATAGATATAATATTCATGGCATTGAAATCAAAGAAGGATGTATGTGGGGCAGAAAAAATATTTTAAGAAATAATACATGATATGCCCCAAGTTTGGTAATGATACAAATCTATAGTCTTGAGAAGCCCAATTTAAAAGAACTAAAGACACATCAAGTATGCTCTGTGAACATAAAGGAATTTAACTAGAAATCAATAATAGAAGGATAATCTCCAAAGTAATAACAAACTCTGAAATCACCCAGGGTATAAAAAAGGAAGTCTCAGATGGCGCCTGTGGCTCAAAGGAGTAGGGCGCCAGCCTAATGTGCCAGAGGTGGTGGATTCAAAACCATCCCCAGCTAAAAACTGCAAAAAAAAAAAAAAAA